TGGTCCTGTTTGTGTTTGACTTAGTTTGGACTTGAAATCCAGTTCAGGAGAGTTCAATGATTAACTGAAGAGTTACACACGCCTCTCTCTTTGTCTCTCCCCCACTCTGTCATGAAACGGAATCTGCAGGTCTTGAAAAGTATTCAATTCTGTTCCCTCAGGAAAAAAGATATTGAATATTTTTCTTTCCTGCAGTAGACAGTAACATTAATTACAACTTTTGACTGTTGGAAGACAGGTGCTACGAAGCTCATTGACTCACAATGGACAAGGGTTGATGAGTCCAGACGTAGATGGATTATGATACTGGACGTAGACAAGTAAAAGGCCCCTAACCCCTCGTATATAGGACCCCTCGGACTGAAACAGACACAGAGTCTTGTTGTGGTCATTTTGCATCTCTGTATTGGGGCCCCATCATGTCAGGCTCCTCGGCCTATGCCCCATAGGCCTGTTCAGTATCCTGGGTCAAGATCATTTTAAAGGAGCTATTTGTACATTTTGCCATTGCTACAGTGCTAACGGGGTTAGCATTAACAGCTGTTTACCAGTCTTGAAAAGAGCCTCAGGCATTGTTGCATTTCCAAGACAAGAGGTTATAATACGTCCTCTGAGCAGTGCCACGTCTTCAGGGCAGATTGGAGGGTACAGTGACTCAGTATCAGACGGTGTAGAGAACAGTTCGACCAGGCCAGGGTTAGCTGGTTAGCATGCTAACTTCAGTAGAAGAAAAGAAAAATCTACCCATTGGAGTCTTTGTTGCTCAGGAGAAGACTTTCGATTTGGACAGTTTCAAAGATTCCTCTGGACTGGCAAGTAAACAGCTGTTAATGCTAATGCTGGCTTTGTAGCAATAGCAAAACTTACAAATAGCTCCTTTAACTGATAAACTCTATTACTATTTTTATATACATCTGAGAGGTGCTGACAAAAACATGATATAAATGTCAACATAAGTAGCTGTAAACCTCAGTGTTTGTTTTCTGTTACTCTTTGACTAGTATAAAAATATAAAAGCTGCTGAACTACTTTCTCTGTCATATTAAATAAGTCTTAAAAAGTCTTAGATTTAATTTGACAAACACTGTAGAAACCCTGTGAAGACTCTCCACTCCCCCCCCCCACCCCCCATGCCCCTCCAGCCTTCCTGCTGCAGGATATGTGAGAAGTGTTTCCTTGAATCCTGATTGGCTGCATGCTGACCAGCAGTTGTAGAAACAGAAATACACCCAGTGAGACATATGGAGCTGATTAGACACAGAGAGGCTGTGATATCATCCATGACTGTCTCATCTCAGTGTGGTGCACAACACGCTCACACACTCCACACTCACTTAATGGTACTTCACGCGAGTGTGAGTGTGTGTGTGTGTGTGTGTGCGTGTGCGCGTGTGCTTTTTTAGAGATTTCTGCTGATACTGAACTTTTCCTGCTTTGACAATTTAACCGCTCGGCCAGATTAACCTGCCTGGGTTATTTCCCCTAGGCACCCACAAACTAACCTGCGCTCCACAGCTGAAATTAGTAGTTGATTAATCAGTTAGTTGACTCACAGAAAATTAATTGGCAATAATTCTAGTATGTAGAAAGCCAATAATTCTCTGCTTCCATCTTCTCAAATGTGAATAGTTTGGTTTCCCAGTTTTCTGACGGTGAACTCAACCTTTTGACTGTTGGTCAAAAAAAAAAAAAAAGCTATTTGAATTTTATTGACTGAACAATCGATTGATTATTATAGGCATCGTGTCAGAGTGCCATTTAATTCTGAATGATTAAGAGTTTCCAGTAAAAACATGAAACTAGGGAGGGACTCATCATGGATATTGATTGGTGTTTACAGTGGCCAGTAGCATTGGATGTACGTGATGCACTGGCAGCGGAATTAAAAGTAGCTGACCTCTCAATGTAGAAAGCCATGAAGATAGCCTGCATTCAGATGTGGAGGACTTCACGTCACCACCTTCTCCTACGCCTGAGGATCTTATATATGAGTTGGACAGGGATGAAACGGAGGACGATGACCATGAGGAAAAGGTTTTTGGAATGAGCTGAAGCTCGCAGTTATGCAAGTAGTGGAGAAACGCAGGAAAGAAAATAAATGGATTTCGATGTAAAAATACTCACAAAATTATTTTTGACATATATTTGGCATATAACGAGATTAGATGAATGACCAATTAACACGGAGACACAGGATTAAAACTGGGAAAGTATATTTTTCTTTTCATGAGGCCTTTAAAGAAAATAACTGTCGCATGTATTGATAATGAAAACCTTACAGTACTTATATGATGAAGTGACACAACATTGCCCCAGGTTTCTGTGTGTCATTTACTGTACATGCAAAAAAATAAAGCGATTTGCGGACTGGTGCACCACCACCTTCCTGCTGCTCCTCCTGCGGGGGCCTCAGCTTTGCCTCTCTGTCCCTTTCTGTTCTTGCTCTTCCAGATGTTGAGATGTTGTTATGACTTCAACAGTTCCCCCTGAACACCATTTCTTACTGACATGTCAGACAGCGGAAGTTTCAAGATGAAAACAATGATTATTTTAAATAAGACCACCCCCTCTATTGTAGCATCAATTTGCTGCTTTTAATTCAGGAGGCCATGGTTGTTCAGTGTTACCACAAGGTTTGAAGAGTGAGAGAATAATTATCAGGTGATAATTCCTAATGACAATTCTTGGTGGGCTGGCCCCAACTAAAGCTATCCCTGGAAATATCCCTGTTTTTAACTGTGAATTAAAAAGAGAAGTCTAGCAATGCGCTTGTTTTGGCCAGCAGAGGAGGTTGGTTGCTAGCTATAGCAGCTTCAAAAATTAAGCTAAAATCATCAAAATAGAGTTATCCGATCAGTTTCTTCTTCTTCTTCTTTTGTTGTCTCTAGGCAGAGGAAAGTTTAGCTGGCTCACTCATTTGTTAGGAGTTCATAACCAGGCACTAAACTAACAAAAACAAACATATCCAAAGCCAGAACTTGGAAAAATTGTTGCGTGACAGTCTGCAATGGGCTCCACATGACACTCACATGACATTCACAACCTGGAATACTTTTGTGAGAAATTTTGTTTTTTTAACTGTGGACCCTTATGAAGTAAAGGAATATAAATAATCAGGGATTAAAAAAAGACAATCAGACTTCGTTACTGCTTCAAAGGTAAGGGGGTTGTTGTTTTATCAGTCCTCCTTCAGTAAAACAGTTACCATGGTGAAATTATACTTTAAACCATGACTGTCCCCCTTTTTTATTTCATATGTAAAAACATTGGATATTTTAATGACATATTGAAGACCAAACTGGAAATGTCTCCAGTTTTCATTTCAGAAATCTGGTCATCTTTCCTTAGAGTTAATGAAGTGCTGACTGGTTTACAAGCAGAAAGGTGCCCAAACCTTTGCACAATTACTGTTCAATTTTTTTTTTTTTTTTTTAATGATGAAACAAAAAGTGTGTGTAAAAAGAGATAAGGGTGGGAAGGGTTTGGCTTTTTTTGTGCCAAATTAGACATTAAACATTAGAAAATAATAAGATTCTTCTACTGCTCTGGAAATCTAACTTTGCTTTTCAGTCTTGATCACCAGTCAGTTGAAAGGTTGGATTTACTGCTGCAGCTAATGACTTCCTGACATGTCGGTGACCTTTGCAACCTGAACCCCACTTGACCCCCTGACACGAGTTATCACCCGCGGTGTTGATCGAGTTAAAAGAAGAAGCAGAAGAAGAATAATCTCCTTTCCTTTCCCTTCCTTCCACCAAAGCTGCCTGCAGATCTCCTGGAGGCCCGCGGAGGTCGCTCTGCTCTCTGCCGCCTCTCATTCTCTGCTTCTCCGCTACCACTCTTCTCTCCACTCCCCTCATCTTCCCCTCAGATATACTACAGCAGCACGGAGACGGAAAAAAAAAATCTGATCAAGCTTTTCCGGTCTGCTAGCCCTAATTTCCTCTCAAGACCTCTGGCGTTGGAGCTGAGGGGACGCACAGGCAGAGAGGGAGAGAGGGAGAGAGGGAGACACCCTGGGCGAGGAGAAACTGGGGCAATTAACGCGTACCAGCACAACCCCGCACGCCTTTGCACGGTTCCTCTGCGTAGGATAATGCGTCCTGTCGGCGGCGTAATGTGCCCGGAGAGGAGGAGTGTGTGACGGGGAGAGCAGAATGGTTCGGCCGATGGGAGCGCACACGGTTCTCGCCGCGGCCGCTCCGTGCTCTCCCATCCGCGCGTCTCTCCGTCTTCGTGAAGCCGCCACAGCCACAGAGCGCCCGCCGATGCCCGTCCTCCTCTCAGCCGCCCTGCGCGCACCCACCTCCGGGTATTTGTCCGAGTCTTCATTACATAACTCGGCGTCTTTGTCGCTTGCACTGATTTCATTCTCCCACAGCCAGGAGTGAGGAGGATAACCACTTCTTGTTTACCGCCCCAGCAGCAGCAGCAGCAGCAGCAGCAAGCAGCAAGCGGCAGCGGCAGCGGCAGCAGCAGCAGCAGCAGGCGACGACGCGGCGGTGGCGGCAGTCCAAGCAGGATTTAAACCCGGACTGTGCTGCCTTCTGCTGTCGTGGACTGAAGGCACTAGGAGGAGGACACACAAAGGGTGGAAACCTGAGTCGAGCGGTGATGAGAACTCACCCCGAGTGGATTTCGCTGGTGTGCTGCCAGAAGCATCTGGAAAGGATAACACAGGGATACACTCCCCCTTCAGAGGACCAGAGGATAATTCACATCTCAGACATTTCAGTGCTTCAATCCTGTGGCTGCTGAGTGATTCTTTTAGCTTGTGTTTTAATCTGAAATTGGTTTAATAACACTGGCACTTAAAGCCTCTCCTGGGTGGCACAGTTTGGGTTCATAACCAGATTTCCTCCTGGCACCAGTGGGTTTGGACATGTTGGACAACTGTGGCCCTCCTGCATTCAAGACTTGATCAAAGGACAGGAATCATCTTCAAGAAACCACAACAGATCAGTAATCCTGCACGGCGTCCTCGTAGCTATGCAGTGAAGATGTGTGCAGCCAGGTTCAGCGGCTGCCTTAATGGCTGTGCCGAGGAGGCAGTCGGCGGTGGTGCTGCTGGGGCTCCCGGTCCGATCGTGGCCTCCAGGATGCTGGACTGGACAGAAGCAGGTCCCCGCATCCTCCACAGCCTGGAGATGGGCACGGTGATGACCATCTTCTACCAGAAGAAGTCCCAGCGGCCCGAGAGGAGAACGTTCCAGATAAGGCAGGACACACGGCAGATAGTGTGGAGCCGAAACCCTGACAAGATAGAAGGAGAGAGTGAGTATTTACATAAAGGTGTGGATGGATTACTGACGGGAGGGGGCTCCTGGGCGCGGGCACAATGCCCCCTGAATCCCAGGGCCACTGGCCCCGTGCCACAGCCCCTGTGCAAAGTGCCAAAAGTCACAGAGCTCAGTTAAAAGTAGGGAGTCTTACAATCGAGCACAGTAACATTAGCAAACAGAATAACTGCTCTAAGACAGTGTAACATATCTCAGGCTTTCTTTGGTGGTTTCCTTGAATATTTTTGCTGTAGTATTTAATATAATATCTGTGCAGAGGATTGTCAGTGTGGGTCTGCTGAATCTATAGAGATGCAAAATTACTACAATGTGGTGCTTAATGACGACAGGGCGACTCAAAATGATTTTAAGCAGACATGCATCAACCACAAAGAGACATAAATGACAAATGGATGCAAAATGAGCAAAAAGAGACAAAACAACAGTTTCAATCTGGGGCTTTTGCTCCTCCTGTATGTTATGAAGGGTTGGGGGGGGGCGTTTACATATCTGTGCCCATAATCTGTCCATACATAAAAGACAAGGTGCCAACTACATACAGTAAGTGATGTCGCTGTGGTGTCTCGACCAGTGATTCTGGTCACAGATTCTGTATCAGAAGATGCTGGAATGTCAGCAGAGTCCTGACAAGTATCTGAGAACATGCTGATGGATACAGAAACTGAGCACCAGGGAACGGTTCTTCCTTCTTTTAAAACCGGTGGGTCCAAACTTTTTTGTGGCATCTGACCCTTTAGAATAAACAACGGTTGTGAGCAGTTCAACCAACGAGACAGACTTCAGTATCACTGGAGAAATATGGGAGGAAAAAAATGTCATTTTATGTGACAGAAGTTTCCGTTGGCCCCTCATTTTTCCCAGGTGCTCCTGAGGGGCCCTGATGTCCAGGTTGGGAACCTGAATTTCATCCTCCTCCACTGTGCTGGGCCACAGACATGTCAAAATTTCAGCAGATAAAACTTAAACGTATGCATCACTAGGAGTCATTTTGATGAACGTGCACACAAGACGAAGAAACTAAGACTCTGTATCGAACTTTAATACTTTTTTTGGCCCCAACCAGATCATGTCTATAGCATCGAGTATCAAAAAGTGAAGTAGTGGCAGCTGGTTTTGAATGTCCAGTCAGATTCATTGTCTTGTGTAATTTTTTTTTATATGTTGTTTTTCTACTTTCTTTTTCTTATGTTAGTATTTGAGTTTTGTAGGTAAAGGTTTGGATTTTTAAAAGTACAGTCGACAAAATGATCCTAACTCAAGGCCCAGTTACTGGCTTTTTCTCCAGTGTTCAGCACAGTCTTCAATCCTGGATCAAGTTGTAGCAGGTGGTTGTATATGGTATCATATGGTGTATATGTGTCTGAAGTTCCACTCTGCAGTAACTAAGCATTTCTATGACAACTGAGCAGACTCATCGATTCCCCGATGAAGACAAGATGTGGTTGAAAGCTCTGGAAAAGAACTATTAAAATGTAACTTTCGACTTCCAAGATAAAGAATAAACTTTATGCTCAAAACTAGAAAGGCCCTCAGAGAGCGCAGACCTCCGCCAAGGCCAGTGTCAAACAACACACACCAGACTTCAAATCAAATTTACAGTAAATGATTTGGATCTGCTCCCAAATGTAATGGGTTCTTCTCTGGCCCGTGTCCCATCCCTCCCCCAAATTCAGTGCAAATCGGTTCAGTACTTCTTGCGTAATCAGCGAACAAACAGACAAGAGTGAAACATACCCTCCTGCCCTGGGGGTAAAAAGTACTGTTTTGGTATTAGTTCTCAAACTCAGGCATCATATCTGCATTAGTATTGAAATAATTCACATGACAGAGCAAAGATCTCACAAACCTCAGCCTCCAAAACCAAAACTCTCTCTGCGGCTGGACTCTAGAAGAACATGCGTATTAGTTTGTTTTATGCTGTAAAAGTGCAAGAATGAGTATCACTGTATGTGACATATTGCTGTGGTGGGCTGCCCCCCCCCAATCTTGCAGCTGAGGTGCTGTCATGGTGTTCTCAAGCGGACAGACAGATCACGACCCTGTGACCTGAGCTTCCTCCAAGTCAGACTCGCAGTAACTCTCTCCAGGCAGAATAGCGTGCATGCTGCTGCCACATGGGTCCCGAGTCCTCGCCCGGCCTCGAGCTTCCTGTCTGTCTGCCTGACACGCCACGGGCCCGACTGACTGACTGACTGACTGACTGACTGACTGACTGACTGATTGTGGGGCTGAGGTGACTGAGGCAGCTCTGCTGGAGAGGAGTAAAGTGGCAGTGGTGAACTTGAAGCAGTCGGCTGCTATTGTTGTTGCTGTGAACCGGCCTGTGGAGGCTATTGTCTGTGCGCTGGATTTTTTTTGTGGCCAGGGGGAGGATTTGTTACAGTGTCTGTTAGCAGTGAGAAAAGTTACGGCATTTACTGGCATGATAGAGTTTCCTTCTGTCTGCCATGTGTTATCCCAACTCTCTCACTTTATGGTAGCACACTGTAAAAAAAAAAAAAAAGAAAAGAAAGAAAAAAGACTCCACCCGAATGAGATAGAAATAGTTTTTATGGAAGCCCATTTCCACCAGTAAAAGAAAAAATAAGATAAAAAAACACCTTGATTATGTATCATGTAGTTAAAATTATGATCAATGATATGATAAAAAGTCATGATTATGAAATAAAAAGTCGAAATTATGAGAAAAAGTCAAATTATGAGGAAAAGAAAGGTGAAATTATGAGATAAAAAAATCATAATTTTGACTATATCTGATAATTCTGACTTTTTTATCTTATTATCTTGACTGAACAAGATTTTATATATTCATTTTTTAACCAAAGCGTTTTTAATCTTATTTTTTTCTTTTACTAGCAGAAAGGGCTTTCATAAGTTTTACTGAGAAGTTTGTTTTTCCATCACTCCACTGAGGGTGCTTCTTTTTGCTGTTAACAAACTTCTTCTTCTTCTTTTTCACTTTGTCGGTTTTCTACAGCGGCCTCGAGAGCTCAGCACACTGTAACTCACAGAAAACACATGCAAACTAAACGCACTGCAGAGATGATTACAGCTGGCTGCACTTTGCTCATTTACACAGCCTTTTTCTTGCTAAGTCATTAATTGTGGAGAACTAATTTCGAATGTGTGTTTAGTAAAAGGCTAATGCTACAGTTACTGTATGGCAAATATTTTCAGAAATATCTGATCATATCAGCACCCCTGAATTTTTAATGATCTCTCCTTTAGATTTTCAGTGTGTTTCTGTATTTGTTGCATTTGTCAAATTGTCGACTTGTGTTTTTTGCATGTGTGTTATGAAGTTGCAGGGCGTTGAACCCTCAGGGCCACTGTAGGTTTCTCCTCTTCTCCAGTCTTCCCTGTTTTCCTCTCTACGAAAGCTTGGAGACTAATGACCTCTGCACACATGTGGGTGTTATTTCTGCTCAGGGAGCCTTGTCAATTATTTATCCATAATCATAAACCACACAAATGGCGCCTTCGCTAATCCAGCAGGCAGCGCATGCAAGCCTGAGCGTGTACGAAACCACAGCAAACACCTACGCCGCTCAATCACGCACAATCCCACACTGGTGAAAACACTGCTTTCACACAAAACACACACCCAAACACACACATGCTTTCATAACCCACAAATGCCCCTTTACAAACAACCTCCCTCTGGACAAACCCACCAAGTACATTCCAGGAACTCAGTGGGTCTCTCCTTCACTTTATCTCCCACAGCTTCATCTCTCAGCTGCCCACTTCTTTTTCTTCCTTCTCCTCCTCCTCCTCCTCCTCCTCCTCCTCTTCCTCTATCACCACTCCATTTTCCTCCTCCAGCTGTTCTTTCCCAATTTCCTCCGCCCACACATTCACCTTAGCTCCCTTCTCATTTTCAAGATTTTTCCCTGACCTCCCAATTCGCTTTCTCACTCTTTTCTTTCACTTTCTTTTTTAGTTTCAGGGTCACTCATCTGATACTTTGGTCTTTTTGTTCTGGAGAAATCTCACTCATGTATATCTAATGACCCCCTCCCCCCCCCCCCCCCCCGCCCCCCCCTCCCCCCCCCCCCCCCCACCGCTTGGCGGACTCCCTCCCCCCTCTCACCTCCGCCTTCTCTCCTGCTTTTCCTTCCTTTTGTTTTTGTTGCCTGAAACATTTTTTGCTACTGTTTGCTTTAAAATGAAGTTTCTCCCTCACTTTTGCTACACGCACTTCAGACCAGTGTTTTTCTTTTGAGATGAGCGCTTTGCAAACACTGGGGCATTAAATCCTGAGGCACAGGAAGTGTGGGGTTATCAGGGAGTGTCTCTCTTCCTGTCTCAGATTGAAGGACTCAAAACAAAAGGCCCAGCATCTTCTGCAGGAAGCTAAGACATGGACCACAAATGAGGCGCTGGATGCCATTGATTCTCAAAGACTTAATTAAAGTAGGGCTGCAACTAACAATTATTTCTCGACTTATTTATTAGTTGTTTGGTCTGTAAAACATAGGAAAATGGTGACAAATGAACATAATAACTTCCCAGAATAGCTTTTTGTATTCGACCAATAGACCAACCCAAAAATATTTAGTTCACCGCAACAGAAGATGAAGCTGAAACTATCAAATGTTTTTGCTTAAAAAGTGACGTAAACGATTAAGTGATTATCAGAAAAGTTAATAGCAAATTAACTTTCTTTTGATCAGCTAATTGATTCACTGTTTTCTCTCTTATTTAAGCACGATTAGGGTTGAACAAAACTTAGTTGTGAAATAGACCTTGGTTTTGTAAACAGAACTTAACTATTTAAACCAAAAATAAATATCACAGTGATAATTAAGGTCTTCCAAAACAATCAATGTATACATTGTTAAAGAAATGAATGCTGATAAAAAAAAAAAAATCAGGAGTAGCTACATGTCTTGCATACCGCATCCTGCTATCCAAACTTTCTCATATGGGCAACTCGGGCAAAACGCATCCCACCTCACTGAGTGATTTCTTTCAATGTTTTCATGACAGGGACAAACATTCNGATTAGGGTTGAACAAAACTTAGTTGTGAAATAGACCTTGGTTTTGTAAACAGAACTTAACTATTTAAACCAAAAATAAATATCACAGTGATAATTAAGGTCTTCCAAAACAATCAATGTATACATTGTTAAAGAAATGAATGCTGATAAAAAAAAATTAGGAGTAGCTACATGTCTTGCATACCGCATCCTGCCATCCAAACTTTCTCATTTGGGCATCTCGGGCAAAACACATCCCACCTCACTGAGTGATTTCTTTCAGTGTTTTCATGACAGGGACAAACATTCACTTGCCCCTCCTCCTTTCAACATGTATGTTGAACTGCTTCTCATATCACTTCTACAGAGATGACACCCAACTATACCTTTCATTCCCATCAGACGACCATTTGGTCTCAGTGCGGATCTCACCTTGTGTGTCTTAGACATATCCACATGAATGAAGGAACCCCACCTTCAGCTGAACCTCTCTAAGACTGAAGCCTTGGTCATTCTGGACAAAAAGTCTCTCCATCACGATATCAACATCAAAATTGTCTCTTCATCCTACCCAGAACAAATTTACGAGAAACTTGGGTGTCATGATTGATGACCAGCTCNCTTCATCCTACCCAGAACAAATTTACGAGAAACTTGGGTGAATGGATAAAATGGAGACGAACCCTAACCCCAGGAAGAGAAGAGAGAGAGAGATAGATTTATCTAGCTAACATCAAGTTGGATAGACTTTTACTACCTTTAATACCAGGACAAATCCAGGTGAGCCACATCGGTGGGCCAGTGGAGCATCAAAAAATTTATAAAGTTTTAAATTGTTTTTTTTTTTTTTTTATTAATATGAATGAATCGGTTTGGCGAACGTCAATGTACTCCTGAAAATCAGCGGTTTTATCTCCCTAATTCGGTAAATACTGGCAACTATACAATCACTACTTCTATACTTCTATATGATAAATCCAATGTCTATACTGAAACTGAACTTTTATGCAAGTTTTATGTATGAGGTGAAAGTTCTTCAATGATTAGTCGACACTAATCCAGATTTAGAGTCAGTCCTAGTTGGTGAAACCCACTTTTTGCAACTCAGCTACTCCCCACTGCTTATTATTAACATTATTTCACAACTTTTCATCCACCCCATCTCTAACCTCTTCTTTTTCATTCCTCTTTCTCTCTGCCTTTGCATTTCTGTGACTTACTGTAAAACCCTCCATGCCATCTGGCCGGGAGTGATGTCACCAGCTGTACCAGGAACAGTTTTTTTCACTGGAAGTGCACTGCAATTATCAACGGCTGGTGGTTTTCAGGTCAGCAGTGCACACAACTGCTCAGACTGACTGACTGAGTTTCATTCAATCTGAGCAGTTTCTGTGTAGCACCGAGAAACGTGGTGAGTTTAAGAGCTTCTCTGATGAAAGAGACGGACGTTAATGTAACGTCCTGTAAAGGAGGCATCTCTGCTGTTTTTATTTCCACAAGGCTGTTGACAGTATCTTATACTCTGATGTCTCTCCAGTTGGCCCTCAGTGTCATCTCCCCTCACCTCTCCCCTCCTGTTATGTTCATCAAAGTTTACATCAGGCCGCTCTCCAGAGCAGTTCCCTGTCTTTATCTCAACCATGTTTACAGCCTGGACCAGGATTAAAGGCCACAGTGGGAGGAATCACACTAAGTGTGTGTGTGTGTGTGTGTGTGTGTGTGTGCTCAGTCTTTTCTATGCGCTCTTCTTATCTATCAGTGTCTGTGTTGTGGGGTAAGACAGGCAGGGTGTGTGCGTGTTAAAAGAGTCATGCAGAGCGAAGTGTGACGTTTGGCGAGCTGTTTGTCTTATTGTCCAACGTCCAGACTAAATGGCAGGAAGTAATAAAGGGAGAGACCAGAGACACAATAAATACATTTTTTCTGGGTATTTTTAATATTAGTGTGAGAGGGAAATGAGTCAGTTTGTCCACAGCTAACGACTGGATAACGTTGGATACCAGCAGATTACTTGTTTCCAAAAATGCACCAAAGCTATTGTTTAGATCCAGTAATGTTTTAACAGTGGTGAGGTACACGGAGGAAATATGACAAAAACATGTAACCAAGGAATGTGTGCTTGCATGTATTTGATTGGCCGACACAGTGGGTTACCAGGTGATGTCAAGTTGACATCAAACTTTTTTTTTTTAAGTTATATTTTTGGGCATTTTTGCCTTTATTCGGACAGTACAGTGAGAGATAGACAGGAAATTCAGGGAGGGAGAGAGGGGATGACGTGCAGCAAAGGGCGGCAGGTCGGATTGGAACCCATGGCCGCTGTGGTTAGGACTAAGTCTTGATGGTACCCGCGCTACCTGGTGAGCCACCGGGGCGTCCCTGAAATTTAAATTTTTAAGAAACTCTTTGGAAATGAACCAGAGGATGTATTTTATATTTTCTTACTGTCGACACGTCCAATGAAAAGACCAAAACCAACCATGTCTTAATCCGTCTCTCAGTGCTGTTCTGACTCCCCTACCCTGTCTCTGTCATTGGTTCCTACCACAGATGTTTGGCTCACAAATATGTACTTTCATTTGAAAAAAAAAAGCAAACTGTCTGTAAAACAGCTGCTCACTGTAGCTTTTAGCAAACAAACAGGAAGAAATCTTCCAATAGTTGGGGACTATTTCCAGCGGCGGATTAATCCACATTTGGTGCTTTACTTATTATTGCCAGTAGTGTGTTCATGCTAATGAAGGGGTGTGTAACCCAGTTCAACACTGTGGCTCATTGACGTGTTTTTAATAGTTTTTGGAAACAGTGGAGCTCTATGGTTCGGAGAAAGAACATATATCAATAAGTAGTTGGATTAAATTTGTGTTGGTTTTGTTTTTTAACTGGATTTGTTGCCAATAAGAAAATACTTTAACTCATCAGGTAGTTATTATGCCACAGACTGTATTTGAAGGAATTGGTGCAGGTCATCTTTAGGTGAGAGGTCAGACAGTTTCAGTTACGTGTTCCTCTACCCCCCCTCCCCCCCCCCCCCCCCCCCCCCCCCAGTAAAGTATGGACACGTTTCCATCTGAAGATAATGGCGTTTTCTCTTAATCTCATGCCAAACGTGCTGCCTGTCATCTCCACATGCAGGAGCCTCAGATAGGAACCAGATTTCTCCTCTTGGCTTTTCGATTCAGGATTATAAAGAACCTGCTGAGGACGGCTCGCTTTGTCTCCAGTAAAACTCCAACATTCTTGGATTTTTCCCTTTAGGCCCTTCTGTTGTCCTCCTGTTGGACTGACGACTTTGTCCCCAGAGGGAAATGTTGGTATCACATAGGAAAACGTCTCTATTCTCTCCAGTATTCCTGTTTTCATCTGGCTGGAGTTTGGAAAAGAGAATGTGTATGTGTGTATGCTATATTAGGTATTTGGTGTGTGAATGCCAGAGCATCTGTGAGTGCATGTTTATGTGTGTTTGCACAAGACATGTGTTATGTCAATAAGCCGGGGTTTTCTTTGTGGGTGTGTCGACTGGTACAAGTGTCAAAGTGGAGTCCAGCGTTTACATCATCCTCTGTGGTCAGTCACCCGACTTCACCACTCTGTTAACTGTTAACCCTTCTCCTGCAGCAGAAGCTTTCGCTTACTGTTGTGAATCAGCCATTGAGCATTGAGACATGTGGACAAAACCTGCCACAAGTGCAGATTTTAATCATTCAAATGTTATTTCTGTCTTTCTTTTCTATCTACTTTCTGTCAAGTAGAAATGAGACTGTTCCCTGTAAAAAAAAAAAATCAGGTTTGGACACACAAACAAATATTCAGATGTATTTTCAGATTCTGGATGTTGTTTGACAAAAACAAAACTTATAAAGCGAAATAAAGAAAAAAATGCAGCTGAGTTTGAGCTTGAAATTAAAAAATGCTGCCTTAAAAAAACCTTAAAATCATCTTATAATAAAATCATATCCAGCAAGTCATCTTAAACAGCACTCACCACTGTGTTGAATGTCTTTCTAGAATCTTCAAAGTCTCTCTTCAACATCTGGATAAAAACATAAAAAAAAAATTAAAAAAAATTTAAACCCCAAATTCCCAAAGTTACCACGTTTTTTCTGATCCAAACAAAGATGGCCGCTGTAAATGACACTCCATATTGTTTTATACTTTCATACAAAATTGCACATTAAAAATGTTCTTGTTATGTACAAAACAAGCAAGGTTGTGTCATTATCTGTTAAAAATCCTTGTTTTATTGTGTGATGGACAGAAAATTTTTTCTTCAGATGGTCAGAAACACATTTGAAGATTCTGTAAATACCTTTAAAACCGTGGTCAACTCCAACGGCCAATGTATTTCAAAGATGGCTGGTTATTTATTTTTCAGAAAACTGACTGACTGAGAGGCACAAACTGAAGCTAGTGGACAAACTACCTCCATAAACACAAGTTTAATAATATAAACTTAGTAGAATAAAGTTAATACAACTATTACTAATGAATACAAGAGCAGACTGAGGAGAATTAACAACATTCACTTTGGTCTTTTCAAATTCAGTTGTTTTACCATTTAAAGTGACTTTGTTCCATCAGATGTTTCTCAGCTTTAAAGGTTTTGTGATTCTTTCTCCAGAGAAATGTGAAGTAAAGTTGCAGAAAGTGACTATTTGTTTGGCTGCTGCTGCAGACATTCAGTAGCATCCTGCCACCACCGACAGCTGAGATGTGTGTGTGTGTGTGTGTGTGTGTGTGTGTGTGTGTTTTTTTGGACTCTCACACACAGTCCATTTGTTCGGCTCTCCGGCAGCAGATTTCTGTGTGTTTGGCAGGGAAATGAACAACGAGCCAAAGTGTGATTTATGGTGGTGAATATTTGTGTTCGTGCAACACTATCCTTCCTTCCTTCCTCTCTCCCTCCAGTCGACATACGAGAGATCCGGGAGCTGCGGTTGGGGAAGGGCTCCCGTGATTTTGAGCGCTACCCGGAGGAGGCTCGTAAACTGGACTCTGCCCACTGCTTCATCGTGCTCTACGGCCTGGAGTTCCGCCTCAGGACGCTCAGTGTGGCCGGTCAGTGTGTGGATATACTGCACTGTATACTGTGTTTTTAAAAGGTTAAAGGTCATACAGCATCCCTAGTTCTTTTGACCAAAATCTGATCAGTTCATATAATGATCTAAATCTTCATACGTCTCTTTATTTCTCTTAAAACATTTGTCTTATTGTCAAATTTCCCATGAGAAGCGCAAAACCAGCAATGTGTTAGTTCATCTCTGGGCTCTCAATTTTTGGGGACTACTTTCAGTGGCGGATTAATCCAGATTTGATGCTCTAGTGACTCTGACTCTGTCTCAACTTCATTTCCATTACAGCCTTTGTTTTTGTGTGTTTATAGCAACATTCAGATCATCAGTTTTTTACAGAAAAATGAGACGATGCCGGTGTAACAAATGGTCAGAAGTCTACTTATAAAACATGACCTTCGCTCCTTCTTCCTCTGTCACTTTGCAGCCTTCAGTGAGGAGGAGGTCAACATGTGGATCACTGGTCTCAACTGGCTGATGGCTGACACCCAGAGAGCGCCGGCGCCGCAGCAGATCGACAGGTGGGTGCGTCCGTCGGAGCCGCCGGTTTAGTCTCGGACTCGAATCGGGTTTAAGTGGCTAGAAACACTCGTTGGATCACACCTCTCTGACATCAGAAGGCTATTTTTGGCAAAGTTTTCTAACCTTCCAAAACGGTCTCACTCTCAGTTCATGCAGCAGTTATCCAGATGTGCAGAGCTGACGCAGTAAGCAGGATTTGAATGAGCATCTTTGAGGAAGAACTGCTCAAAAATTATTTATTTATTTATTTATTTGGTGAAGCAAGATAAAGACAGTGATAAAGTGATAACATAAGATAATGTAACGTAACGTAACATGATGGCATACACTACAGGGAACATATATGATAAATATAATAAAATAAAATAAAATATAAATATAATAAATAATATATGAATATAATTTATATTTAACTCCATATTTAGCTAGTTCTTCCCCATGCCGAGTAGTTCAAAAATTATTTGCTGCTATCCCCAGTTTGGACACATCCTGCCTCTCTGTATGACCACTCACTTTTCATCCAACTTCCAACAGTTAATTCCAAGCGTACCTGGCCCTTTAAGTCCTCGATATTCAAGAGTTTGTCTCAGATAGCTGTGTAGTAATAAGGATAATGATAATCTTTATTTATAGTGTCTTTCAAAAGAAAAGTTACAAACTTGGATAAATGGAGTTTTAGAAACTTCATTAACAGTGAGAAAGGTGAAATTGAAATTCCAATACTAATAAATAAAATACATTAAGATAAAATAGTGAGAGAAGACATTACCAAGCATCACTGAGATGTTTATTTGTGTGTTTATGAAGCAGCTGGCTCTCTCCTACACCCTTTGCATGTGATATCTGGTCGCATCAGAAGAAGCAGCGATCTGGAGACCTGGGAGGAAGTCGCTGGTCGGGAGGAGAGGACAAATATTTGTTTAGGGCTGAAAATATTTACTCCAGATGAATGTGCGGAGGCAGGTCCTGGCTTCCGTGGCAAGAGTGGGAGAACAGAGAGAGGTTGTGAGGGTGTGTGGGAGAAAGACAAGAGTTTTGTTGTTGACATAATGTGAGCGGTATATGTTTGGAAATAGGCAGCGGAAATGAAAATTGCTAATTTAGTCTGTTTATGATGGTTGTGTAAACTGTTTGGGGAATGGATTCATGGGCTGAAAGGCCCCTAATTCAAAGTTCAGTATCTCAGTATTTTCAGCATCTACCTGCAAAGTCAAACGTCAAACTGAAATTTTAATTGTCCTAATTTTTGGTGTAATAATCTAATAATACTGCAAAGTTTTTGGACGATCAACATCTGCAAGGACCCGTAATGCTCCTGAGTTTTTATTCCACAAGCAGAATAGAAGCTAGTTAGCCTAGCTCTCTAAAGTTAGCATAGATTCCCGCTGGACTGAATGTTATTTCAACACCTGCCGAGTCATCAGCAGCTCCCAGGCACCCGATGCTGTGTACAGTTTGGATTATAGAGAGGAGGTTGTCTCTCGTTCTTGGTGATTTGGATCACAACAAGTTGTATTTGTACAGGTGGAGGTTACACAATTTTAGGTGATTCATACTTGGATCAACACCTGTGCTGGAAAATAATGGGTTCTTTGATTAAAAGACATCCTTATGACTCCCATGGTGCATATCAAGAAACAGCCAATCACAGAGTTGAAAGGCTGTGACATGCACCTCTAACAGGTGGTTGAAGCTAAAGATTATGATGTTGTGGAAACTGATCAAGAATCTGCAGATTAATGGTCCCATGTTTTACACTTTTCCTGTGTTTTATTTGAAGGGTTGATCCCTAAGAAGATATGTAATGTATGTAAACAATGTAGTTTTACATCTCCTCTCTCAGGCCTCTCTCTGAAGCTCTAGTAACAACAGGTCACTGAGCCAATCAGAAGAGAGGAGGCTGACTGTTTTCCGAGTGGTCCAATAAAAATATAGCAGATTTCAGATAAACCAAATTCTGCAAGGTTGGATGGTGGGTCCAGTCGGGTGGGGCTTGGAACATGGCTGAGGACGGTGACTGCTTTGTTGTGACATCACAAAGTTACAGAAACCTTGACGGCTGGTTTTAAGGCTCTGAATTTAAGTGTCTGAATACAGGATGTGTGCATTTCTCTGTGGACTGAGCACTTTGATACTTTCACAGTATTAATATAGAACCTAGACCTGCTTTATAATCAAATGACAAATGGACATATACCTTTAGACTATATGGAGCTTTACCAAATTACCAATTTACTTTTGGATTCTTGGTCAATTTTGGATCAATATCAGAACTGTGGCGTCTTGTTTTAAATCCGCTACTGCTCTTGCTTCCTGCATCTGACTGTTCTTTTCCATAGCAGCCATCGCCCAGGCCCTTGGGTAATGTAGTGTTTAAACATGTCTGCCATTTCTGTTAAGTATCTGTTTCTCTGTTAAGTATCATTGATCATAGAAAAACGCAGCTGGACAGCAGTGGCATGATGAGAGACAAACACTGAGACGCTGATTTCCTCAGGACACTTCTCTAGTTCGACTTTAATCTAAGTAATAATTGCTTGTTTTTCTCCCTCCCCCCCTCCCTCCCTCTGTAGGTGGCTGAGGAAACAGTTTGAAGTCATGGACAGGAGCCACGAGGGCAGGTATGTGACAAACGCCACAAACACTTCAACACCCAATTGTTTTTATTCCTCCGCACCAGTGACAGTCGGAGCCTGAGACATATTGTTTTCAGATTGTCTGTCCTTCCCATTCTTGTGGACATGATATCTCAGTAACACATTGAAGGAATTTCTTCAAATTTGGCACAAACATTCACTTCGACTCAAGGATGATGAACTAATTATATTTTGGGGGTCAAAGGTCAAAGGGCAAGGGCGTGGTGACCTCACAAAACACTGTATTGGCCTTGTGAACACAATATTTCCGTAACTAATTTCTTCAAATTTGGTACAAACGTTCACTCCGACTCAAGGACAAACTGATTAGGTTTTGGTGGCTAAAGGTGAAAGGTCAGGGTGACCTCACAAAACATGATTTTGGTCTTTTGAACGCAATATCTCCAGAACTCCTCAAGAGAATCCCTTCAAATCTTGCACAAATGTCCCCTTGGACTGGAGGACGAACTGATTAGATTTTCGTAGTCAAAGGTCAGAGGTCAAGGTCACAGTGACCTCACAAAACACTTTTTAGCCATTACTCAAGACTTCACCCAGCAATTATGACAAAATTTCACACAAATGGTTCATATTTTATATGATTCTGGACGAACAGGGATGTAACCTGAAAGTAGTCAGAGTGGCGGAGGGATACAACCACGAGGCGGTGATTCTAGTATTTACAGCAGCCTGTGATGGATGCTCATTGGCCTCACGCAGCAGGTGGAAAGTGGAAAGGTGAAACCAGATCCAGATGTCATCAAAGAGTTTGTTACCCCCCCCCCTCTGTCGGGGATCTGCCCTGACCCTAACTGAGCCGCCACATCTCACACACCCGCAGGGTCGTTCTCTCTCCTGTGCTCTTGTTAATAAGTCGAGGCTTCTGTTTGGGTGGAAGCAGCTCCAGGACAAACAGCCTGCCCCTGCCTGATAAGGAGCAGGAAGTGATGCGATGGGCTGGGAGAGGACAACTTCCTGTCTCTTGTGAAAATAGTAACAGTAACAGTAGCTAGACAGACGGAAGAGGGAGGAGAGGCGAATCAGACCTGGCAGTGACAGCAGTCGGTCGTTGACCCCGAAAGATCCTCTCTCCGCCTCAGAGCATCGACCTGGATTTTTTTTTTTTTCCTACCTGCCTTTTTTGCTTCCTTCCTCATTCTGTTACTGACGGCTCATGGTGGCGTGTGTTTTCTTAATCAGCTGAAGTGATTATCCATGTGCTGTTTGTCCTAGAAAAAAAAATGTAGAAGTAAAGACATCAGCAACTCCACAGAAGCAACTACTTATCTGCAAATATACCCCAAAATAATCTCCACAGAATCTGTTTATTCGCAGATCTGGTGCTTTCAGTGGTGAGGGAGTTGCCGATTTCAAAATTTCCATATTTTAGGAGCGTTTTAAAGACTTATCATCTGTGTCGGCTTTAAAAGTTGAGGTTAAAAGTTTGTGGAAACAGCCCAACTTTGACAACAAAGTTCTGGGCAGACTCCCATCTGCTGCTGAAGATCATGTAACATGAGTGAAGGCTTCCGAGCGGCTACTAAATACATTTGTCGAATCCTGTTTCAATGAGGTTAACGCGATTTGACGCAAAGCCAGACGTCAAAAGAGTCAGAAGCTTTTGGAAAATGATGTTTAAAAAGTCGATTTTTTTTTTTTTTTTAACCTAATTTTTTAAAGTGGGTTCTGAGGATTTACTCTTCATTTTTTAAGGAGTTTATTCTACATTTGAAAACTGTTTTTCAAGCACTTCTTTACTGGAGGAAGCCATTTGTTGCACTGTGACAGGATTCAACTTATGTAAAACTAATCAACATGAGTAAACCAAAGCAGTTTCATTTCTAAACAGAGGCTCAGTGACGTCTTAAAACAGCTGCTCATTTTATTTATGGTGCTTTTACATAGTTAAAACAGACGGCGCATACTCAAATAATATGGACAAATACAGGACAATAAATGAATAAATCTCAAATATGATAATAACAAACCCCTCCCCTGCAGGAAAAATAATCATAAAGCTAAATAAAGTGAGGGCTGTATCCTCAGTAATATCTAAACATCTTCACTGCTTACATCAAGAAAGGTGCAAGATTATGCAACACCGAGGGGATAGAACTATTGATCTATATGCTATATATCTATGTGCTAGATCTATATGCTCAAGAACAGTAGACAGTTCATTCCTCAGCCTCTCTACGTGTGGGACTCCTATCAGTTCGCTGCTCACTGTAGTTTCTATCAAACACAGTGGAAGAGGAAATAGTGCATTTGGTGGGGACTATTTTCAGATGCGGATGAATCAACATTTGGTGCTCTAGTGAGTATTTGGGGGCAGCAGGACGATGTGTTTATGGTGACAAAGGAACATGTCACAGTGCAACAGTGATGTGTTTATAGTTTTTAGAAACGCTGGGGCTCTGTGGCCCTGAGATATCAGATGGATCAGACTCAGGGTGCATTCACTCTTGGTTTTAGAAGACATAATATAATGATAATAATGGTCTATATTTATACAGCACTTTTCTTAACCCACGTTCCAAAGTGCTTCACACAGGGGCAGCAAAATAACACATGCAGGTAATATAAGGCAACAGTTAAAACAAGCAGATCAGAAATACAATTAAAATGAAGTAAAAAGGGGAAAAGCTCTGTGATAAAAGTTTGTCTCAAGAAGAGCTTTAAGAGAGGTCACTGATTCTGCTCGGCCGATTTCCTCACGCAGCTCGTTCCAGAGATTCAGGCTCTGACTGTTAAACCTCCGCTACCTCTGGTTTTTAGCTTTCGCTGCCTCAGGAAAAGACTAAAAGACCTCTGCCCGAGGATCTCAGGCTACGAGCTGGTTCATATGCTGTTAAGAAGTCAGATATATAGCATGGATAGAGGAGCTTTAAAAGTCAACAGTAGAATCTTAAAATCAATTCTAAAACGTACTGGGAGCCAGTGCAAGGAGGATAGAATGATGATGTGGTCACTTCTCCTGGATCCTGCTAAAAGCTCTGTTCAGTCTGGAGCTGATTAATAGATTTGTGGTCGAGGCAGGTGAAGAGGCTGCCGCAGGAGTCGAGGCGTGAGGAAATAAAAGCTTATAAAATTGTCTCTGTGTCTTTAAAAGATAAAATAGATTGAATTTTGAATATAGACTACACAGGTTTTATTGTGTGCTGCTCAAAATTTAGTATCTCCTTATTTCCACTGACTCCTGCTGATCCTAAACTATGAAAACAATGAAAATCTTCGTATCCAGTTCCAGACATCGACTCTTCAGACCGAACAGCGCCATCTCCTGGTGAAAATACATGAAACGTCTGGCTCCTTCAGAACAAACTCTAAACAACCATTATCTGTCTTTAGGATTATCCAGTTTATTTTAGTTTTTCTCATGTTTTTTCCTCTCCTGTTTCCAGTATCACAGTGAAGGACGTGAAAACTCTGCTGCCTCAGATCAACTACAGAGTCCCCAACATGCGTTTCCTCAAAGACAAGCTACAGGTTTCATCACATCCTCTCAGTTTAATAACAAAGCTCCTGTTCCTCTTTGAGTCTCCTCTCCTGGTTTCTCTGACGCTGATCTGTGTCACACTGACAGGAGGTGGAGGCCCGCAGCGACCTGTCGTACCCCCACTTTGCACAGCTGTACCGGACACTGATGTTTGACGCACAGAGGAGCGTGAGTGTGTCAGATTTGGTTTTGCACACAAACACACACACACAAACACACACACACACACACACACACACACACACACACACACACACACACACACACACACACACACACACACACACACACACACACACACACACACACACACACACACACACTAATAAACACTCACAGAACGGTGGAAGAAGTACTCAAATCCTTTACTTAAAGACAAGTAGTTAAAGAAAACTCAGTACCACTTTACAATAAGACTCCCCTGATAAAGGATTAATGAATGGTTTATAACTAGTTTATTAATTAGCTTGTTAACACTTTATAAATATTTATAAGCTGTTATAACACTTTAGATAGAAAGGGTAACAGTGAGCTGTTGCTTGCTAAATAGTGAGCCCACATGTATCTGTACTGTTCAGCCTCATATGTCATTAGTTACTGAGCTTCCTCTGTTTTCTCCATCCTCCAGCATTTGTACCTGCTGCCTCATCACATGTTTGTTAAGTTACTAGTAATGAATCACCGTCAGCATCTTAACGGTCGAAAAGGTTTCATTTGGCAGATCAAATTATGGCAGATCAAATGACCAGGTGTATGCTCTAAGGCCTTGGCAATAATGTTTACCTTGACATTTATTAATGAGCTACTATTATTTATAACTGGTAACTATAAGTGTTAAGCATTAACTAGATGTTGCCAAATAGACAGTCTGCATCAATGTATGAAAACTGTTATAACTTGTTCATAATTGTTTATTTATGATTTAGAAAGTGTTAACAACTGAATTAATAACCTAATTATAAACTATTTATAAATCCTTTATAAGGGTTGTCTTATTGTAAAGTGGCACGGAAAACTCCACTACAACCAAAACATAATTTTCCCCCCAGAATCACCATAATAAAATCTGTTTCTGGCCTGAAAACTCACTTTATTTGATCACATTAACGCAAAGACCTTGAAAACAGGGATGCTGAGTGAGATCAGCTGATCCACAGCCGATACCGATCATTTTTGGCATGCGTACGTCATATCAGTCTCACACACTTTGTAAAAGTCTGCTTCTCTCAGCCGCAGACACCAGAGAACTAACCACAAGTCATCGGTTTTAAGGTGATCAGCCACAAGGAGCATTTATGCCGATCTACCGATCACGTCTTTTTAATGAAAATCGCCGGTCGATCAGTCAGAGCATCCCCTACTTGTAAAATGTTAAAAAATAGTTGTGCTAATTGATCAGTGGCATCAAA